TGGTGTTAAGTGGTTACTGAAGCCCATAGACATCTACAATGTAAATGCGCCACCCACCTTGAGATATAAGTTCTAAGGTCTCAGTATAGTTACAACGGCTGCCCCACCCTTCAAACCGAAACGCATTACTGCTTCACGGCAGAAATAGGCGGGGTGGTGGTACCTACCCGTGCGGACTCACAAGAGGTCCTACCACCAATACTGTAAGTCCGCTGGAGTAGGTTCGACCATCCTGCGCATTTCTGCTGCAATGCATATGCAATGAGTTTCCGTTTGAAGGGCGAGATTACCATTGTACAATACAATTGACATTTCAGCTTCATATCTCAAGATGGGTGGTAGGTGGCACTCATGCCATGACGTCTCTGTATTCCAGTGACTGCCTTACACTAGGACAGATGTGGGCTCCTTCACCTATATACGATATAGAAAAAAGGAGCCCGATGAAATAAATATCCATTTCGAAACGAACTAAAAATTAATATTATCCAAAAAAACATTTAAACATCAATAAGAACAATCTATACAAAAATGAGATCTAAATTTAGTTTCTAAGTTAGGAAATATTGACAGATATTTCCTTTGATTTAAAATTGCAGTTCGCAAAATCGAGATTTAGTTCCTGTAAAACGTTGTACTATATTTATGCTTAAAAAGTAAATCACCTCCTATACCTAACTAGTTGCGCTAGCTATATTAAACAAATGCCGTCAATACTGTGTCAAATTTAAATTTAGTACGTTACCTATATGTAGGAGTATGTTATGCAAGAAAGAACTATTCGCGAACACCGTACGTCGTTATGAGAATTATCACCCGACCCGTTTATAACCGCGAAACAGTTACACACGTCATGACAAAGCTTATACGGTGCGCGTAAGTCAACAGCAATTCATAAGAATCCAGGTGAAGTGGGTGCTGTCGGTACTTACTTACGTGCTCGGTGCTCGGGAGGATCTCCCCTCGCCGCAGAGATTATGGCGGCGCCATCAAATATGCATAAAAGCCGTAAAATGCCACACTTAACCGCTCCCCGACGCCTCGCGGCGTTGTCACCTGCATGACTCGCTTCGTCATAAGTAACGTAATGTTCAGTATGTTATTTTGATGAATTATCTTGAAGATGAATCTTAATAAAAAAAAGGTTGTCTGTAAAGTCGGTTTACTGACGATAGTTGAACGTGACAACGTCATAAGAAAATACTGATGGAATGGTTTCATTTTTCAATTATCGCAATTATCGTTGCTATAAACAATTGACACCACATTCACTTTTCCCTGAACTTCATACTTGACGAAAACATGTAAATGTGTTATTGTATAGCAGCTGTCCACGCGGATGCATCGCTCACTCAAGTAGGAGAGAGACAGACGTCGAACGCTGCCGAACGCGGAGGCCGATTGTGCCTCTTTGTTGCTCGTTGCGCGCTCTCGCTTGCACTTCAAGTCTTAAATGGAACGCCTCAGAGCGAGGTAACGCCGCATGAGTCATGTTTTTCCGTGCGTGCAGCCGGCTCCATCGAATTATAAGACGTTGTCACGTCAAAAAAAGCAATAATCGTACTAAATATATCATTGTAATCTCAGAATTTATTCACGAAAGGATGAAATATTTAACAACAAATTAATATACATAGTAAATATATTTCAAAATATGTCATTTTACCCTAAAGGCTTAGTAAGCATCTACATCTACGTTACACTTACAGAGCAACTTCAATAAGATTTCGGTCAGAAATAAGTCAGATACTGTTGATTTTAGAATCGTTATAATATCCATTCAATGCGTGTAAATATTTCTATTGGTTTTATCAAGCTTTACTTACTGCTCGTTCATATACAAAGCGAAGTTTACGCGATTCAACGTTGCCACAATTCGAGCCGTCTCCAGACAGATGCTCAGACGTAGTAGTAATTAAAAATTGCCACCGCCTCATAAATTTACATGAGAACATGAAACGTGTAGCAGGCTACTTAGACTTTATTGTAATTTCGATTCATAAGTACAAAATTACTATCACAATCTTTCGTAATATAATTTAATAATTTTTTTATTCGTAATTGTTGGATTTCGTTGTTTCTTTTCTTTTTAAAATGCACTTAATGCGGTTGCGGTTTGAAGAGTAGCAGGACATCTGCAATTACAATATGAGTGTGGTGTTTATGAAATCCGGTAACCTCTTAACACCAGACGGACAAATTAGTCGGTTCGTTGAAACCAATAAAAATCTTTTCATTAATTAATGAGATTATGTTGATTGACTATTAATGAGGCTTATGAAATTCATTACCGATAGATTCGATTAATGTGCTGTTGTCGAAAATATAGTAAAAGGCTCGTTCAGCATTATTTTACTGGTGGTAGGACCTTTTGAGAGTCCGCGCGGGTAGATACCACCACCCTGCCTATTTCTGCCGTGAAGCAGTAATGCGTTTCGATTTAAAGGGTGGGGCAGCCGTTGTAACTATACTGAGACCTTAGAACTTATGTCTCACGGTGGATGGTGCATTTACGTTGTAGATGTTTATGGGCTCCAGTAACCACGTAACAACCAGGCGGCCTGTGAGCTCGTTCACCCATCAAAGCAATAAAAAAAAATATCAGTAAATAATACTAATCAATTTCATTATTATTTCTCTTTTTTTTATTGCTTATATCGGTGGACGAACTTACAGCCCGCCTGGTTGTTATGTGGTTACTGGAGCCCATAGACATCTACAACGTAAATGCGCCATTCACTTTGAGATATAAGTTATAAGGTCTCAGTATAGTTACAACGACTGCCTCGCCCTTCAAACCGAAACGCATTACTGCTTCACTGTAGACATAGGCAGGGGGTGGTATCTACCCGTGCGGTCTCACAAGAGGTCCCACCACCAGTAAAAAAGTTCACATTAAGTCCACATTTTAATTTTAATTATTTATTATTAACATTTGTTAAGCATCTCAAGATTTTAATTTATGATATCTTCGTATTAGACAATTTTTCTTTAAATACACTTCGTTAGAAACAAACACACTCATTACTAAGTACAATCCATCTTGTCAAGCCCTCCACATTCTCAGAGATTCACGCGCCATCAACTAAATACTGAGTGAAAATCTACAATCCCATTATAACAATCACCTTTCGCGTTCATTACTTCAAGCTAAGATACTAAATTTACATTAACAGTTCCCTCGTTAGTCAAACGACGCAAGAATCTAGTGAAGGTATTATTATTATATTGTGATAAATCGAAACGTCTCGATTCTAGGCTTCCATTGTTGCGGGTATTGTATTTCAATGTATTAAAATCAAAATATTTTGGATTGTATTAACGTTTTTTTTTTTTATTGCCCTTGTAGGAAGACGAGCATACGGCCCACCTGATTGTGAGTGGTTACCGTCGCCCATGGACTTCAGCAATGCCAGGGGCAGAGTCAAGCCGCTGCCTACCGCTTTAGAAGTCGTCGTGGCCTAAAGGATAAGACGTCCGGTGCATTCGTATCGAGCGATGCACCGGTGTTCGAATCTCGCTGGAGGGTACCAATTTTTCTAATGAAATACGTACTCAACAAATGTTCACGATTGACTTCCACGGTGAAGGAATAACATCGTGCAGTAAAAATCAAACTCGCAAAATTATAATTTGCGTAATTACTGGTGGTAGGACCTCTTGTGAGTCCGTACGGGTAGGTACCACCGCCCCGCTTATTTCTGCCGTGAAGCAGTAATGCGTTTCGGTTTGAAGGGTGGGGCAGCCGTTGTGACTATACTGAGACCTTAGAACTATATCTCAAGGTGTGTGGCGTATTTACGTTGTAGATGTCTATGGGCTCCAGTAACCACTTAACACCAGGTGGGCTGTGAGCTCGTCCACAAATCTAAGCAATAAAAAAAAGAAAAAAAATAATAATACTCTCCACAAGCCTCGTTTGAAGAAGGACATGTCATAGCGCTCGGGAAACACCGATTTTTAAGTTTTTAAGGAATTTAATTTTTTAAATAATTCACAGTGAAATATGATACGAAGCACGAATATTTCATAATAGTGTTGTAAATACTCCACATGTAATAGAAATACGTATTCGGTTTGTTAGGTAATTAGCCAAGTAACCGAATTGGCGAAGGTCGGAGAGTCATTGTATTAATTTTGCGTAATTTCGGCCATTCATAATATTCTGGTGTTTATGTATTGATTTTTTTGTTAATGTAGGTAGGTAGACGCTTTCATGAACTTGTGTCGATGATCGGTGCTCCAAATAACAGCGTAAAGACCACCGCCAAAATTAAAAGAAATCAGTCTCTATTGCATTGGAATAACGACGTTTTAGTTCGAACGAATAGCTGTTTTACGATTGATATAATATACTAGCTGACCCGGCAAACGTTGTCTTGCCATATATAAGATTTCTAGAGAATTTCTAGTGTAGAAAAAAAATTACTAACTTATTGGAAGTGTATAAGGATGTGGAATATGAGTGAAAAAGGCCTGGAGCGCTGTGAAAGATGAGGGAATGTTGTTTAAAAATAACAAAACACCAAACATTAATTGTTTTAATTTATTAAAAGTAATAATTATATATATAATTAATTCATTACATAATATTTATCCCTTAATGCTGCAGCGTGAACAATATTTTTTGTTAGCCCGTCTTTAGTTAATACAAACAAACTTGATGGTTTACCCACTCGAGAGCATGCAACGTATAATTGTCCGTGTGAAAAACATGGTGTGCTCAAATCTAAGCCACAAACAGACATTGTTTGGCCTTGGGATTTATTAATAGTCATTGCAAATGCCAATCTAATCGGAAATTGAATACGCTTAAATTGAATTGGCACATCTGTGGGTATAATAGGTATTCGTGGTATCAATATATTTTCACCTCGAAACTTGCCATTTAAAATGGTGCCTTCGATAACTTTTTTCATTATTTTTTTAATGACTAATCGCGTACCGTTGCATAGCCGTGGCGGGTTCAAATTACGAAGCAAAATAATTGGAGATCCAACCTTCAATTGTAAGTTATGTGGTGGCATGCCTGGCAAATCCAGTGAGTTCAAAAACTCTGTTGGAAAATTTACAGCTTCAGTGCCATCGCAAACTGTATCAATATATTTATATGATACCAAGTCCCCTGGCAATAACTGTTGTATCTTCAGATTTAAAATGTCAACGTCCACATTTTTTGCAGCTAACATTGCTCTTTCTGCAAGCCACTCGAGATTTATGTAATTCGTGTGTACATCGGGAAATACTTGTTCAATGAGAGCATCTTGCGAATCAATGATAGTGCAGAAATCATTCGCTAATTTTATGTATCCAGTTTCAGCTATAGTGACTTTTCCATCACCGATATCTAAGAGTTGTTTTGAGAATGTTTCAGCGGATGGATCTTGAAGCATTTGAACGCGCATATTTACTTTCAGCTGTACTATTTCAACATTACGCCACAATGTCGATGATTTTAAGCAGGCGTTGATTTCATCAGCGTATGTTGAACGTGGAATGACGGGAAGTGTTTGTCTGAAGTCACCTGAAAGGACTAACAGAGTGCAACCAAATAGTTTGTCGTTGTTTTTAATATCTTTCAATGTCCTGTTCAACGCCTCAAGCGAATATTTGTGTGCCATGGTACATTCATATTTTCCACTCTAAGCACCGCCATGTCACTGCCTTTATGGACATAATTGCAAATGTATTTGATGCTCTTCACAGAGCTGCAGAACTCAACATTAATATGAGCATTGTATGTTTTGCTCAGCAGGGGCGAATATGGCACGACCCAACGATTGTCAATATCAATGTCTGTATTGCTGATGTTTTTAATAAATGATTGTCCGCCATTATCTGGATTCCTTCGACGATATATTGGATATCCGTCGACATTTGTGATTGTATCGTTAGTGAAATCTTCAGGGAAATTTTTTGTACATTTTCCATCTGACATGCAAGGCGATGAACTAAAAATGTTTAACTACTACGCTTGAAGCATAAACACTAATAATAGCCGAAAACTGTAGAGGTAACATCCCTACTCCGTGCTGTTTACAGGGTGAGAAGTGACACCTGTAGACACATGGAGGGGATAACTTACCAAGTGATAATAATTGATGTTATCGAGCGGGATAGAAAATGATAAAATTATGAAAATGACTATTAAAAAGCAAGGGTTGGTGATAAAAAAGTGCAAATTTAGAGCTGTATGTATTTTTGTATGTTGTATCATAAAAAAATAGAAATTAAAAATTTTGTCTAAAAAATAAAAAATAAAAATTAAGGGTGGACTACCCCTAGCATTTAGGGGGGGTGAAAAATAGATGTTGGCCGATTCTCATAGATACCGGATAAGCACAAAAAATTTCATCAAAATCGGTTAAGCCGTTTCGGAGGAGTATGGCAACGAAAACTGTGACACGAGAATTTTATATATTAGATTATGTAAGTGGTCCCTACCCGCTTGGAGAAAAAAAAACTAGTGTCCCGCATTAGTGTCATAATGTTAGGTTGAGAAGCTGGTGGTAGGACGTCTTGTGAGTCCGCACGGGTAGAAGCTACCACCCTGCCTATTTCTGCCGTGAAGCAGTAACGCGTTCCAGTTTGAAGGACGGGGTAGCCGTTCTACAATTAAACTAAAACCTAGGCACATGTCTTAAAGTGGGTGGCGCCATTTAGGTATGTAAGGGCTTTCGTAAATACTTAAAGCCAGGTGGGCCGTGATTCAACCACTTAAGCGATAGAAAAAAACCGAACATGCTCTTTTTATGCCAGATTCTCTGACTTTTAGATGGCCTAAGAAATTGTCACCAGTAGTGATGGGTTAGTGTTTATAGATCGAAACATAATTGTTAGTAAAGTTTACGTTATGATTCATTATGATTCACATTAATACGTAGTTATTCACATAAATTTACGATTTATTTTCGAATTTTCATCATTTCAATACAAATTTTATATTATTATTTATTTACGTCTCCACAAATGCAGATACCGCATTCCCTTCGTTTGTATAGTCAGAGACAGCCAATTTAGCCGTCGCCTCCGCTGTCTTTATCGTATCTTTAATGAACACTCATAAGCTCGCACACTACTTAACGTATTGTGTCGTGGTTTTGTCTGTTAGCTTTGCTGTTCACTACTTAGCCGTTTAGATGGGTATTTCAGACGTGTATTATACGATTTTGGTTTTGGTAATCCTTAATGTATTTGAATGCAGTAGTAGTAAGAATGTAATATATCTCGAGCAGAATGAATTCGATACGTGATTATTGAAAAGTTATTTCCTAAAATTCGTGTTTTTGTTGCATTGTGCAATTGTAGTTGAAGTTTGTTGGTGCGTCAAATAAAAATTACGATAAAGGATTTAGGTTTTTACTGACGGTAGGAGTTTAAAAATTGGCAAGATGGTGTAACATATACTGGCGCATAATACGTCTTCTAAAAAATAAATAAGCTGGTATTGTATTGTAATTTTCCACACGTGACTTGTGTATCCCAGATCTGGCATTCCCAACAAGAGTTGACCTTTAGCTGTCGTATACTGTTAATCAAATCAAACTGTAACATGAATGTATTGTGTGGCAACCCTAACTATTACGATAAAAATAACAAGCTTGTATTTAAAATTTATTTACTGGTAGTAGGACCTCTTGTGAGTCCACACGGGTAGGTACCACCGCCCTGCCTATTTCTGCTGTGAAGCAGTAATGCGGTTCGGTTTGAAGGGTGAGGCAGCCGTTGTAACTATACTGAGACCTTATAACTTATATCTCAAGGTGGGTGTAGATATTTATGGACTCCAGTAACCAATTAACACCAGGTGGGTTATAAGCTCGTCCATCCAAGCAATAAAATATATATAAACGTGATTAGATAAACGTATATTGTAAGAACGATGACACCGTATTTCGCCTCTTTAGGTCGTGTCTGAAGCGGACTAGCAATGCAAAAGACAGTATGGTGACTGAGAGAAAACTAATCGCTAATCGCATGAATACTGAGACCTTAGAGGGTAGGTGGCGCATTTACGTTGTAGATGACTATGGGATCCAGTAACCACTTAACACCAGGTGGGCTGTGAGCTCGTCCAACCAACAATGCAATAAATAAATAAAAAATAACATTTAACCATCATTAATTTTTTGTCTTTGATTCGCACTTACATTGTTGTTTATTGTCAATATTAGAAAATACGCCACCGCTTTTTATAATATAATAATCTTTAAAACAATTTCCATAAGCAGCACTCATCCATCTGCAGTGAAGCGTGAAAACAAAGTCAAAAACTTTACGGAAACATTATCATAGATAAATATGTAAAAATACGTCGTAAAATAACTTTTCATCGGGCCCCTGCGTCTTAGTGAAACAATGTAGGCTTTCAAGGGAAATGCTAATATGAGACCGTTACGAACAAATTGATACTCGATCGTCGCTCATATAAAATACTCTGCGAACGAGATCGCCCCATGAATAATAAAGAATCCTCGAAGCGACGCGACGTGTCTCCCGCCTACAGGGTATTTTTAAGACTTCTCAGAAAAGGTATTGGGATAACAAATTTTTGAGGTATATAAACGGTAAAATGAGTTAAGAAAAAAATACAAAAATACAATAGATTTCATTTCATACTAGCGTCCCGCCCTCGCTTCGCTTCGGAAACTGTAATTTATTACTGATTTCTCCACAATTTAATGGATGTTATTATACATATAAACCTTCCTCTTCAATCACTCTATCTATTAAAAAAAAAACCGCATCAAAATCCGTTGCTTAGTTTTAAAGATTTAAGCATACATAGGGACAGACAGATATAGGGACAGAATAAGCGACTTTGTTTTATACTATGTAGTGATGAGACAGTTCGTAGGAGAAACAGTTCAGTAATGCAAAAGCATTTTAACACGTACAGTAGTAACTTTAATTGCTAAGAATAAATGTCAACGTTAAAGGCATTTATTCAACCCGTTTTTTCAACTATTCAAACTGAACATTGAAAACTAGTAATGTGTTCTAGTATACACTGTAATACTATAGATATCGTTGTGACTATTTTCTGATAAAAAAAATCAAAGGCTGTGTCTGCCTCTAAGAAAAAAACTAAGAAAGAGTAAAGAAATCCGTAGTGTAATAATTTTATGAAAACCAAAAACGAATTAGATTGTAATATTCTTATCACATTTTGATAAACCTTTTAAGCTAACATTTTATGCCAATTGTTGAGTCCGCTTATTAGGAATGTATTTTTAATTCTAATGTATTTTTACTATAGATCGGTGAATGTCCTAGTTAATAAGAAAAGAGATCACCTGTGTCCATAGACATGACAATCTGAATGCTAGAGGCCAGTGTAGAGTACTTTTTTTATTTTTTGCTTAGATGGGTGGACGAGCTCACAGCCCACCTGGTGTTAAGTGGTTACTGGAGCCTATAGACATTTACAACGCAAATACGCCACCCACCTTGAGATATAAGTTCTAAGTTCTCAGTATAGTTACAACGGCTGCCGCACCCTTCAAACGGAAACGCATTACTGCTTCACGGCAGAAATAGGCGGGGTGGTGGTGCCTACCCGTGCGGACTCACATGAGGTCCCACCACCAGTAATAAACCTTCAACAAAATAGCCGTATTTGAATTAATAATCAAAATAATCACTTCAAATCCACAAGCCTATTACGTGTTATTAATACTATGAAACGTAAACGATACGTAATAGGTATGTATTAACTCGCTCGCGGTTGAGTAATCCCCGATTATATTGAATTAACATCCTTTAACGTTACGAACATTTCTGACGGTAATTTATGAGTGATTCTATCGGATAATTGTTAGTTAGTTTCTGCAGATGTATTTAATGGCTATGATTTCTGAATTGATAATTATGTTTTAAACATGTGATTATAAATACTTGTTATGTAGCCAATTATTAGTTACATTGATTTTGAAGTTAAAATCTGTGAGTACAGGACAATAGTGATAATGTTTTCCATTTTGTATACTAATAGTTTTGAATATCGAACTTTAAAAAAATATTAAGACTTAATTTAATTTTAAAGACAACGTAATCTATACATATAAATAAAATTGGAGTGTCTGTTTGTAATATTGAAATAACCGCTTTTTACTACATGCATATGAATATATATACGGTACATACACCAAAATAACATTTTTTACAATTTTTGTCTGTCTGTCAGTCTATCTGTCTGTCTGTCTGTCTGTCTTTTTGTTCACACCAAAATAACATTTTTTACAATTTTTGTTTGTCTGTCTGTCTTTCTGTTTGTTCCGGCTAATCTCTGGAACGGCTGAACCGATTTTGATGGGACTTTCACTGATAGGTAGCTGATGATATAAGGAGTAACTTAGGCTACTTTTTTTAGACTAGCTTCGCCCCACGGCGTCACCCGCGGTACAACAATAATCGCAGGTAACATCGCGAGACTCAGCTATCAATAATCAAATTTAATGTTTCCGAAGCGAAGCGAGGGCCGGTCGCTAGTTATACATATAATGTCAATTAAAAGAAGTCGATTACTACGTAGAATACTGAAACAAGACGAAATATTTAAAAAAAACAGTTGAAAGTATCGATGATATTACGTTCGCCGCACAGACGCATTGACACATTA